TCCCTAGCTTCTCAGAATAAAGATCTTAACAGTGGTAAAGATGTTAAGTCCTTGCAGATACTCTCTTGCTCTTGAGCATTAACTCTCATTTGAGAGTATTTCTACAATCTTCTCTGATATGGCTTTATTTGTAGTTTCCTCTGATCTTTCATGTCAAGTAAACATACCACACGCACCTCCTAATTTTCCAATAATTTCTTAAAATATAAAATCTGCTGCTGGGAAACTCTGGTTTTCCCCAAGATTATGAGTTTACACTTTAAAAACATGCAAACCCCATTGTGTCATTTCAAGGACTTCTTGGATAAAGGAAAGAAGAGGTAGACAATTCTGACCATTGGCTTTTAAATTAAAAAATAAATATTATTATATGTGCATTCTCTAATTAATAATATGTTTTTCTTAAACCTCTTGTATTATCATCTTCTATATCTTTGTGTTTATCTTGATATATTTATCTCTTATTTAAGCAACTACAACAGTAAATTGAAGCCAATTTTAGTTCCTATTTTTTATTTTATACTATGGTAAGGATTTGGGGGACCTTGAATATCAGATAATAATAATATAATATAAATAACAATTAACCTTAGGTTCAAGTAGAACTATTTTAAGTTTTGGTTTTGACAGCTATCAGCTCTGTGACCTTGAAATGTTTGTTTAATGCCTCTAAACCTCTGTGGCTCCAGATGCAGACTAAGAATAATAATAATGAATCTATTGAGTTATTGGGGTGTCTTGTCTGAAGTCTTACTTACAGTCATGGCTTCAGTATGGGAGGCTGGGTCAGAGGCGTTTCTTTTCTTTGTGTTTATGCTTTAGTCCTTACAGCAGTATGCCATCAGCTGTGAGGATTAAATAGGATAATGCATGTGAAGCACATCAAACACTGTTTGACAACTTGCAAATAATGGAAAAATGCAAGCTTATTATTAACCTTAGAAATGATGTAATAAATACTTATTAAATTTAAAATACTTTAAAATACTGCTTTTTGTATTCTAACTTCAAAAATGTTTTAGATACATTGATGAGTGTAAGCATTTCCAAGTCGTAACAAAGATACAATTGAAATGAGATATCATACGTTTTTAGTGGGCCTGATCTAAGTTGTATTGTGTTGCTTCAGAATAACTCTCTGCAGCATGAGAAGTAGAAGAAGGGGTATAGTTTTGGTAATGTTAGTTTAGAGTGGCAGTAGTTTATGCTGGAACCAGAGTACATGGAATGTTTGTCAGGACATTCCCGAAGTTTCTGAACATGGGTGTCTAGATTGGCAAGGAGTCATATAGAGCCAATAGGACTGAATTGGAAAGAGAAGCAATCAGAAGTCCTACTGTCAGTATTATTATTATTTTCTATATTTCTGTTACTTTAAAGAAATTTTGTGAATAAGAGATAACAATTTCTCAAACTCTACAGGATTGATACAGGAAGATAGTTATATAGGTATAGATAGATAAATAGATAGATAGATAGATAGATAGATAGATAGATAGATAGATAGATACACCCAAATGCAAAACTAGCATCTCCTAGAATTTTGTATGGCTACATAACAAAAAACTATTTTGTTTTTAGAAAAGAGTATCAGAATAATAGTATAGCTATTGGTTTTAGATTTGAATCTTCTTTGTGTCATAAACTCTTTGATGTCTGGGTTTCAACCATATTTTCTACAAGTCAGGAATGGTGCTATCTCATAGAGATGTTGCTAAGTGAATTAAATGCAGATTCTCATAGCATCACACACTTTTTAAAGCTGAAGTTTGCCTGCATTCTTAAATGTCTCCATGAAGTTGGGCACCTTTGATTTTGACGTTACCTTTCTGGTTCTTCTGCTCCCCATTCAGCCTTCACTGTATTTGCTCAGGCTCTCTCACCTCCCGCTTAGACTCCTAGGCAGACCTGATGATGATCCTTGATCTTTATTCTTACTTCTTCCTCAAATTGCTGCCAGAATGATCTTTCTAAAATGGAGCTGGTAATTTAAATAGTAAAGTGTATCCCAAATCCTCCTTTTAGTTTTGTCTCCCACCATTTGCTGCCATGCACTCTCCACGTGAGCTACACTGGATTTTAAAGCATTGTGTGAATGCTCCAGGTAGTTTCACCGTGTCTGCTTCTTTTATGCAATCTATTCTTTTGGAATTATCTATTTTTCCTTCTTAGTTTGACAGAATTCTATTTATCCTTATTGATATTCTGATATTCCTTTACTCTCAGTTTGTGGAAAGTATTTGCACACAGGGCTACAGCCTATTCCACTGGCTCTCTCTTGTTTGTTGCACTGCATATTTACACTTTCAGGGCAGACATTCTATCACTCAAGTTTTGCATTTCACATGCTTAGTACAATACTTAGTTTAACATATGGGGTTTTGAATAACTTGAAGAGGTCTAGAAATCAGCAAACTCTTTCTTTTTCAATTGTATTGAAAAGCATTTTCTTGTTAATTGTGAAATTCGTAATAATTCCCCTTCTCTGTATATTATGGTTGAAGTTTATCTGGTTGCATTTGCCTTAGAGCTGAACTATATATATTAATGTTATTCCAAATTTAGTGGAAAATATGACCACGTTCATGTTTAACACTAGCATTCTTCATATATCAGTGACACCTTTGTTCTCTCTTATATAGTGTATTGGTTGTAAAACAAAGTGTGAATAATAACATTTGGGAACTCACATTCTGGTTCTTTATTAGGAAAGAGTGTTAAGCTGGTGAGAACAAGAAGGCTCTTGTTTGTAGCTGCTATATTTCACAATGCAATTATCTAACATCAATCACTTGGCTAATAGGATGGTAACTTTCAATCATTAACTTTCCTTGAAAGGAAATGACTTCATAAGAACTGCACAAACAATTAGAAGCAAGAAGTCTACTTAGATATTAGAGAAAGGACAAATTTGAAGAATTTCAGAATGTTTGTGAAATTCTTCTTTAGATTCATGTAGCCTATTCATTGTTCTTAACAAGAAATCTTTTGAAGAATATCAAGATATTGGTAAAGTTATACAGTAACTTTTGGAAGTTATTGCAATGCACCTCTTTATTTGTGTACTAGTGTGTGTGTGTGTGTGTGTGTGTGTGTGTTGCACCTAAATAGAGGTTTCAATAGAGGCTAAATAGAGGTTTCAAAACATGTTTTTCTATGGAAGAAGGAAATGATGAAAAACTAAATGAAGCAAAACAGATATGTTTGCCTGGCTCTTTGAAACGCAGGCAGCAGAATATCTTAATTTCTTTTCTCCCTTTCCTTTCCTGTCTTTCTTGTCACTCAGGATGTAGTGCAGTGCTGTGATCATAACTCACTGCAGAGTCGAACTCCTGAGCAATCCTCCGGCCTCAGCCTCCTCAGTAGGTGCGACTTCAGAACCCAGCTCTGCACATGTGTGCCATCATGTCCAGCTATGAATTTCACTACCAATTACTATGTTATCATAAACAGAACCCACTAAGCTTAGGCTATAAACCCAACCCATTAAAAGATATAAACTGTGAATTTATGCCTCTTCACTCTGTGAGAAGACAAAATTCTAAATTGAAATGTTAAGACGATTAACATTTACAATGTTCTAAGGAAATTATTACCTTCTTTTTTTATAACATGAAAGACAGTACAATCTTCATGAAGACAAAAGTACCAAGTTAAATAAAAAATAATAGATAAATAAAAAGATACAGTATCTTGGACATGGACTTACTGCCTCTCTAATACTCTTTTCAAATCTATGTTCTATCATGTTCTAACCATATAGACTGGACAAGGTATTTATTCTCCTTGGGTGATAGTTTCCTATTGTGTAAAGAGATGCTAAGTTTTTGGATCTAATATGTTTAGTTGTGGTGAGGGTTAATTAATTAGCATCACGTCCTGCACATTGTAAATACTCAGTAAATCATTACTATTTGGAAGAAATGGCATTTTACAACATACTTAGCATTTAAATTGATGATTCCTTGTGTTTCCATTGAAACTTAAGAAGACATACCAGATTAATTCCATCAGAAACATATCTATAAAATATGACACATATGTAAGATGAGATACATATATCCTATATAAAATAAGACTATTCATTACAATATTAGACAAATCGCACTTGAGAAGAAAAAGCACATTCTGAAGAAAGAAGATTTATAAGTATGCCACATATGCCTAAATTATTTTATTTTAAAAATTGAAACGTTTTATTTCCTCTGATTATAAAAATGATAAAATTATGATGTAAAATATTATTAATTAGGCAGTATATAAATATATAAAATAGTAACTTTTATTCATACAGTTCAGATATTTCCACTGTCTCCATTTATTAAATTACCACTATAGGCTAGATATTTTTCTATGAATATGCAAGTACATGTCTTTAATGCAAGATTATTTTTATTCATAGTTTTATACATTTTTATTTTAATATATGTCATGAATTTCTAAATACAAATTTATATAATGAATGGAAATATTTCAATTTTGCCATCATCAAGATCTAGTACATTACCAAGTTCACAGACAGTGTTCAATAAATATGCATGAAGTGAATGAATGCCTGAATATTTGAGCCATCACACCCTTCCTTGGCAATGAACATAGATCTACAGGACTTTAACGAAAAAATTAAATAAATTATATGGTTACACACTGCTTTATCTAATGGATCTACTTTTGAGGAACATTTACATTGTTTCCACATTTTTTCTACTTTGAGTAACATGACAACGCAGTACATTAATTTACTTACACTTCACTTGGCCAATACCAGAAATTGAGATTCAGAAAGCTGGTGCACCAACTGGCAGCCACAGGGTTCCATTACTTTAACTGCAATCTGAAATCTAAAGAACAAGCACTCAACACCAGAACTGTTGGCTCTGGAGTCACTACACATTTGCTTGACAAGTGGCTACCTTGCCTCTTGTATCTCTTTTCTTCTCTTTTTTCTTCTCCTCTCCTCTTTCCTCCCCTTCTTCTTTTATTCCTCTGCTTACCTTATTTCTCTTCCTCTTCCTTGTTTCTTCCTCCTTTCCCTTTCATGCCTTTCATCTTTCTTCTCTCTCTCTTATTTTAATTCAGTTTCCAATTCAGATCTACATGGACAAATTGGATGAAAGAAATCTAAATCGCACATAGGTCCCTAGCTTCAATGAAATCAAATAACATGCTTCTTTGCTTTCTATCTCTGCAGTACAGGAAGGTCCATAAAAGGAGGTCGGGATGGATGATGGATAATCTATAATGCTGAATATTCCACATCCACTGTCTCTGACTTTCCAGCCTTAAGTCTGCAGTAAAAGTTTTGCTATGGTTTATCAAAATTTCCACAACATACTTACAATAATTCTCTCTGGTCTCTTGAAAGGCAATTCCTGTTAGCATCTGACGGTTTCCTTTAATTTGGTTGAAACTGTGTGGTATGTGTCAGTCATTCCAGGTTTTGAGGATGCCATTGAGGCTGTCTCCTCTTATAATGATGAAATAATGGAAATTTATTTCTCTTCACCTGCTACATTTATTTCTTCAGGACAAAGAAGGGCTGTTCTTTTCAGATAACTTCTGTGCTAATCCTTTACAATCTATTTTAGGAAAGCAGTTATGACGATACTTTTAACCAGAAATCACCAATTTAATTTACCAATTTGGTGACACTAATTTTTTTTTTTCTGTGTTTGAATGTGAGTTTTGCCAACTATAAAAACAAATGTTCAGCTTCTAAATTAGGTACTTGTAGAAAAATGTGTAGATCAGAACCAACAATAAGTCCATATTTAAGTGGACTAAATGACCTTTAAATTGAGACTTTTAGATCAAGATTTCTCAGCCTCAGCATCATTGACATCTTGAACTGGAAATTTCTTTGCTGTGAGGAGTACCTTGTGCAATGTAGGATATTTAGCAGCATCCGTTGCCTTTACCCAGTACATACAAGTAGCACCCCCAATTGTAACCAAAATGTCTTCAGACATATCCAAATGTTCCCTGGGAGCCATAATTGCCTTTGATGAGAATTACCACCTTAGATGTTACTTTTAGTGTTACTATTAGGCAACTAAGTAGCACATTTACAAAGTGGTAATTTCTGGAGTGTTACAGAGTTAACATAATATTCAGACTAAAAAATCATGGCTGAGCCTGGTGTCTCACACCTGTAATCACACTTTGGGAAGCTGAAGCATGTGGATCACTTGAGGTCAGAAGTTCAAGACTCACCTGGCCAACATGGCAAAATTCTATCTTCACTAATAATGCAAAAATTAGCCAGGTGTGATGGCACACATCTGTATTGCTAGCTACTTGGGAGGCTGAGGCATGAGAACCACTTTAATCCGGGAGATGGAAATTGCAATGAGCTGAGATTGCACCACTGCACTCCAGCCTCCAGCCTCTAGCCTGGGTGACAGCGTAAAACTCTATCTAAAAAAAAAAAAAAAAAAAAAAAAAAAAAAAAAAATTACAGAAACTGTGGCTCAACTTTCTATTTGGGAAGATACTATAACCCCAAAGAGTTGATAGAGTACAAATACTTACATATGCTTGGATGCACTTGATTCCTCTTCCGTTTGCTTCATGAATGTTAATCTTGGTCCTGATTTGAAAAAGTAAATGAGTGTTTAAAGGAAGCTTCGCTACTTAACAAAATGCATGGTATATGCATGCTAACTTTATTTCTGGATGGAATATATGACTGCCAGTTGTGCTGTACAAAGGCAATCATATTTTTATTTATCATGTACCTGATCAATGAGTTAAAGTACAGATATCCATTTTCACGAATAGAAATCCACTTAGGTAACATCGCTTTTTAATAAATTCAATGTCCTTTAAAAGATGATGCAAAGAAAAATAAACTACACTATGAAATAAGGATCAGAGATGCATTTATAGGAGAAGATATGTATATGCTTAAAATGTTCATCTATTCACTCATTAAACTGGAATTGAGTGCCCTGAAAATAGAGATGGGATTCCAAATTCTATATATTCCAGGCATATCTCAAAATAGTGTGAAATGTAATAACTTTTTGTTTTGGTTATATTTTATTATAAAATTTAGCCTAATCTATCAATGGTAAAATGCGAAGTAAATACCCTAACTTATTAGTATTGAGAATTTTAAAAAATGAGAAATTATGGAACTTATTTTCTAGAAATAATTCTTTATCATATCAATTATATTTAGAAATTGCATTATTTTTTCTTAAAAATTATAAAAATTCAAAAGTTGAAATGGTTGTTTATTAAACATAATAAAATGATATACCATTTTGGTAAATATAATGACAATTTCTGTTTAGATTTAATGATGGACTTAAGTGGGAAGACTTCTCGATGCATAATTTTTGTCAGGAGTTTGGAAATTTTTGTAGAATATTATGAATATATCCACTTATAAAAATAGTATTGAAAGAATAAAACTGTATTTAGATTGCATTTTCTAAAACACAAGTTGATATTAACAATTTAGTAGGAAATTCTCAAAAGAAAAAATATGAGAAAATAAATGCACAAGATAAAAATAATTTTAAAAAGATAAACAAAAAAGGTCTACAAACCCTCTAAATTTAGCACATTTTTCATTTATCTTTACTAAGGCAAGTACTTACATATATTTACATTCATAGTTAACGTAGAAAAAAATAGGATATTGCTCAAATATTTGTGTGTCATAGTATCTGACCTTAAATTTATACAGACACATAGAAAAGCTTGTGTGTAAAAGTTTTTGATTCAAATGTTAAGTTTTCAATACAATTAAAATGTTATAGACTCAAGAACGTGGTATAATTGGTGTTAGTTTTAAGAGCCTCACAGAATTTTATGGTTCCCATTACTCCTAGCAATATTGTTTCATAATTATTTCATGGAATTTGCTTTAAATTTGAGTTCAAGCCATTTTTAGACCATAAAAGTAAATGGAACATGCCAATGCAATAAAAATCATTTCCTAACAAAAGCTGAAATTATTCATTTTTATTTTGTATGAAACTTTTAGTATAATGACTTTCCTCTGACATCTGATTAAACACTAAAGTATGCTCTGCTTCTCTGAAATAATGAACTGGAATGAATAAATCTATCTACCAGCAACCTCATTTCACAACAAGTTTTATTGTCTGCCTTTAACTGGAAAGAGATATTAACTTTCTTTTCTCTTATAATCATGTAAACTTTATCCTATAGTGGCTGATTTATAACTTTTAGCCATTTCATTCTGTCCTTTTAAATGTGTGCAAATAATACGTTAAAGAACTGAGCACTTATTTAAATGCAAAGGAAAAATCTTAATGTATAATTTTATGTCCGTATATTTGCAGAAGAGCTAAAAGAAAAATATCCTATTTGTGTACATACATAATTGTTACCTCTCCCTAGAGCCAAGCTGATAATAACATCTAGATCTTTTATGTAATATTTGTATTTGCTATCCTTCCTTCCTTCCTTCCTTCCTTCCTTCCTTCCTTCCTTCCTTCCTTCATTCCTTCCTTCCTTCCTTCTTTCCTTCCTTCCTTCCTCCTTCCCTTCCTTCCTTCTTTCCTCCTTTCTTTTCTTCCTTCCTTTCTTTCTTCCTTTTCTTTCTCTTTCTTTCTTTCCTTTCTTTTTTTTTCTTTTCTTTCTTTTTTTCTCTTTCTTTTCTTCTTTTTTTCTCTTTCTCTCTTTCTCTTTCTTTCTTTCTTTTTCTTTCTTTCTTTCTTTCTTCCTTCCTTCCTTTCTTCCTTTCTTCCTTTCTTCCTCTCTTCCTCTCTTCCTCTCTTCCTCTCTCCCTTTCTCCCTTTCTCCCTTTCTCTCTTTCTTTTCATCTTTCTTTCTTCAAATGTTTATTGACATGGGACTCTACTTCAGTGTGGGGGCACAGTGGTAAACAAGACCAGAGAATTCTTGTTTCAATGGAGCTAACATTTTAGCGTAAAGAGGCAGCTAACAAAAGTTAGTATGCTAAATAAATTATTTTAATTATAACTGCCTATAGAAAATAAAAGAGGTAAATGGACTGGAGAGTGAATGTAGAGAGATAAAGTGTCTTATTTTCAAAAATAAAAAAGTAACAAAAATTATCTAACATAAAAAAGTAAATGGACTAGAGATACACATAAACAAAGCATAGTTAAGAAATTAGAAGTATTAGACACATAGTATGAGGAACATAGACTGTCAGTCCATTTTAAATCTGGTTTGCTAAGTGAAAAATGCAGTTTTAAATATTTCAGATTTAAAGCACATGACTAAGAAAAATAAATTGCATATGTAAAGGCAGATTAAGATGAAAATCAGTAAAGCTATAGAGCTGAGAGATGCTGCCATATTGCACTAACTATATATTGATTGTATAATCATCCTTGTGGAGATTGTACTTTTATGAGGGGAGAGTAAAAATGAATTGAGGAAAAATTCTACAGGATAAAATTTCCATCCTCAAAATATTTTTTACTTGCATCTAGCTATTTCCTATCCTAGAATTCTCTCCCCTACCCCACCACCACCTGACTCACCTATGTCTTTTCCTAATTTACTCCCAAACTCATCATGGCTTAAAGAAAACTGCCAGGAAAATTTTTCCTGATTATCCAAACTACTAATAGGTCAGGGCTTCCATTCTCCTCTCATAGTGTTTCTTGCTTCTGTTTGTATCTTTATTTGCATGACTCTATCTAATCCCTGCTTAACAATGAGCAGTTGCAGTATACCCAAGTGACCTTGAGCTAGCTATATTTCTCTTCAAACTAATTTCAACAATTAAAAAACATAAAAATTTTTAAAACTTTCCAAATGAAAACATTCTCATGCAGTAAGGTGTTCTAGAATTATTCAAATTCCTCTCAAAAAGCGTCTCTAATCAACTCAGTTTCTCCTTCCTAGCAACTGCTAAATCTGTCTCTTGCTCTCAGTTGGTCTTAAAATATCCCACTGGGATTTCCCCATCCCCCCTACTCTTTGTGTTAAAACAATAAGGACATTAATTAACAAGAAGTGCAAATGTAGACTGTCTTCCAAGTTGGTGCTGTCTTTCTGTTCCACCATCCTCACCTTACTGGCATTTCCCTTGGGCTTTGATGCCTATAGTTACAAGAAACTGGCTACACAGACAAGCAAGACAATGCTTTTCTCCTCTCAGGTGTCCCATTTAACAGCAATGAAACCTTTCCTAGGAGTCTTCTCACATATGACCCCTCATGTTGCCCAGAATCACACTACATGCTGGTGACCTAACCAGTCACTTGCAAAAGCAATGAGATTACCATAACTAGGTGAGGTCGGTGGTTCACAAAGTGTGATCCCTTGTCAGTGGCAGCATGATCTGGACCTTGTTAAAAATGCAGATTCTCAGGTCTGACTCAATCTGGTGGTGGGACTGTGCAGTCTGGTTTTTTGTTTTAACACATCTTCCAGATGATTCCTATGCAAGATAAAGTTTGAGAAATGACAGTTTAGAATAATAAGGATTTATACTTGAGCTGGGGATGAATTCACCTTATTCAAAGTTATATGGATACTTCAAAAAATCAGGATTTATTCACAAAGAAGTATGCAATGGCTTTGCAATATTGCGGATGTTGTTCAGATTATCAGAAGCTGCACAGAACATTCCACACCCACAAACTCTTCCCTCTGTGACCAAGGTCTCTATATAAACAGTGCCAACTTTGTCACTAATATAACATTGCCTAAAGTATAAGGCTTCTAAGGGCAGGAATCTGGCTTCTCTATCTGAGCCCCTAAGTGGCCCTGTAACTAGCAGTAGGTAGTCTAACCTTTCTAAATTAATGGCAGTTTTTCTCTACAAATGCTTAAATGTCCCATTTTGGTGCTAAGGGATATGGGGAGTGATTCCAGAAACAGGAGAGTTTGAAAATGCATACTGACTTGTCCACTGTTTGGAGCTGTGGCAAATATCTAAATCTTTTGATGACTGAGTGTTTCTCCTTAAAAAAGGGGATTTTTCTTTGAAACTAAACCTCCTTAACACAACTGATCTTCAACATATTCTTTCTCCTTTTTTTGCCAGTAGAAGTAAATACGCCTCAAAATAATTCAGTTTGGAACCTGAAAATACAAGTCTCTAGTTCAAATGCAGGTTACATAGATAGTGGAAGACAGTACCCTTGATTAAATCCTGGCTCCATGACTTCCTACAGTGTGACTTAGAGAAAGTTACTTATTTTTCCTAGTGTATTTTTTTAATTGAGGGAAAACACACATAACATAACCTTTACTATCTTATGCCATCTTAGCCATGTTTCAGTATACAATTTAACTGTATTAAATACAATTAAAATGTTGTACAATCACATTACCAACATCCATTTCTATAATTCTTTTCATCTTGTAAAACTGAAACTGTATACCTATTAATAAAAACTTCCAAATTCCTCCTTCCCCCTGCCACTGGTAACGACCATTCTACTGTCTGTCTCTGACATTATGACTACTATAAGTACCTCATATAAGTGGAATCATAGTCTTTTATGACTGGCTCATTTTCACTTAGCATAGTGTCTTCAAGGTTCATTCATGCAGCATATGTCAAAATTTCCTTCTTTCATTAAGGCTTAACAATGCTTCAATTCATGTGTATACGATTTTGCTTATTCATTCATCTACTGATGAACTCTTGGCTGGCTCCCACGTTTTAGCAATTGCAAATAATGCTGCTATGAACATTGGTATAAATATCATTTTGAGATCTTGATTTCAATTCTTTTGGGTATATACCCATAATTGGAATTGCTGGATCATATGATAATCCTATTTTTAATTTTTTGAGGAACCATCATACTGTTTTCTACAGCAGATGCATGATTTTGCATTTCCACTAGCAGTGCACAAGTGTTCTAATTTCTTTATATCCTCATCAACACTTGTTACTTTCTGTTTTATCAATCATAGCCATCCTAATGTGTATGAGATGGTATCTCGTTATAGTTCTGATTTACATTTCCCTAATGATTAGTTGTGTGAGCATCTTTTCACGTACTCATTGGCATTTGTATATCTTCTCAGAAAAAAAAAAATGTTTATTTAAGTCTTTTGTTCATTCTTTAAACAGATTCTTGGTTAGATTGCTATTCTTTTTCATCATCACTATTCCTCTTCTGCTTTTCTCTATGTGTTTACCTCCCTCCTGTCTTCACAAATAGAAAAATTTAGCCTTTTGAAGTTCTCAGTTCCAAATATTACCCTAACCTGACAGCAAACTGATATGATTTGACTCTGTGTTCCCACCCAAATCTCATCTTGTAGCTCCCATAATTCCCATGTGTTGTGGGAAGGCCCCAATGGGACATGATTGAATACAGGGTGGGTCTTTTCCATGCTGTTCTCATGAGAGTAAATGGGTCTCATGATATCTGGTTGTTCTAAAAACAGAGTTTCCCTGCACAGGCTCTTTGCCTGCTGCCATCCACATAAGATGTGACTTGGTCCTCCTTGCTTCAGTCATGATTGGGAGGCCTCCCCAGCCACATGGAACTGTAAGCTCAATTAAACCTCTTTCTTTTGTAAACTGCCCAGTCTTGGATATGTCTTTGTCAGTAGCATTAGTATTGACTAATACAGTGAATTGGTACCAGGGGTGGGGTGCTACTGAAAAGATAGCCAAAAGTGTGGAAGCAACTTTGAAACTGGGTAACAGTCAGATGTTGGAACAGTTTGGAGGGTTCAGAAGAATACAGAAAATGTGGGGAAGTTTGAAACTTCCTAGAGACTTGTTGAATGGCTTTGACTAAAATGTTGATAATGATATGGACTATGAAGTCCAGGCTGAGGTGGTCTCAAATGGAGATTAGAAACGTGTTAGAACTAGAGCACAGGTGACACTTGTTATGTTTTAGCAAAGAGACTGGTGACATTTTGCCTCTGCCCTAGAGATCTGTGAAACATTGAACTGGAGAGAGATAATTTAGGGTATCTGGTGGAAGAAATTTGTAAGCAGCAAAGCATTCAAGAGATACCTCGGATACTGTTAAAGGTATTCAGTTTCAAATGGGAAAGAGAGCATAAAAGTTTGGAAAATTTGTAGCCTGACAATACAATATAAATGAAAATCCCATTTTCTGAGGAGAAATTCAAGCCTGCTGCAGAAATTTGCATAAGTAATGAGGAGCCAAATGTTAATCCCCAAGATAATGGGAAAAAAGTCTCCAGGGCATATCAGAGGTCTTCATGGCAGCCCCTCCCATCACAGGCCTGAAGGCTTAGGAGGAAATAGGAGTTTTATGAACCGGGCCCAAGGTCCCCATGGTGTGTGCAGCCTAGGGACTTGGTGCCCTGCATCCCAGCTGCTACAGCTGTGGCTGAAAGGGGCCAACATACAGCTCAGGCCATAGCTTCAGAGGGTGCAAGACCCAAGCCTTGGCAGCTTCCATGTGGTGTTGAGCCTGTGAGTGCACAGAAGTCAAGAATTTAGGTTTGGGAACCTCTGCCTTTCAGAATATGTATGGAAACGACTGGATGCCCAGCTAGCAGTTTGCTGCAGGGGCAGGGCCCTCATGGAGAACCACTGCTAAGGCAGTGTGGAAGGGAAATGCGGGGTCAGTGGCCACACACAGAGTCCTTACTAGGGCACTACCTAGTGGAGCTGTGAAAAGAGGGCCACAATCCTCCAGACCCCAGAATAGCAGATCCACATACAGCTTGCACTGTGCACCTGGAAAAGCCAGACACCCAATGCCAGCTCATGAAGGCAGTCAGGAGGGAGGCTGTACCCTGCAAAGCCACAGGGGCAGAGCTGCCCAAGACCATGGGAACCCACCTCTTGCATCGGCGTGACTGGGATGTGAGACATGAATCAAAGGAGATCATATTAGAACCTTAAGATTTGACTGCTTTACTGGATTTCGGACTTCAATGGGGCCTGTAGCCCCTTTGTTTTGGCCAATTTCTCCCATTTGTAATGGCTATATTTACCCAATGCCTATACCCCCATTGTATCTAGGAAGTAACTAACTTGATTTTGATTTTACAGGCTCATAGGTGGAAGGGACTTGCCTTGTCTCAGATGAGACTCTGGACTGTGGAATTTTGAGTTAATACTGAAATGAGCTAAGACTTTGGGGGACTGTTGGGAAGACATGACTGGTTTTGAGATATGAAGACATGAGATTTGGGAGGGGCAATGGGAGGAATAATATGGTTTGGCTCTGTGTCCCCACCCAAATCTCATCTTGTAGCTCCCATGATTCCCACCTGTTGTGGGAGGGACCTGGAGGAGATGATTTAATCATGGGGGTGGGTCTTTCCTATGCTGTTCTCGTGATAGTGAATGGGTCTCATGAGAGCTGATGGTTTTAAAAATGGGAGTTTCTCTGCTCAAGCACTCTTTGCTTGTTGCCATCCACATAATCTGTGACTTGCTCCTCCTTGCCTTCTGCCACAATTGTGAGGCCTCCCTAACCATGAGGAATTGTTAAGTCCAATTAAACCTCTCTTTCTCTCTCTCTCTTTTTTTTTTTTTTGTAAATTGCTTGGTCTTGAGTTTGTCTTTATTAGTAGAATGAAAATGGACTAATACACAAATGTACAGCTGTCAGGTTAGGGTAATATTCCCCATCATTTTGTCCCCATTACCCAGCATGTTGGCAGGTTCATCAGAGCTATAAATGTCAAATTACCATTCATGAATAAGGAAAAAAGGAAATCAATTGAAATTCAAGAGATCAGCTTTATAGGAAGAACCTCAGCATTTGCTTTTGCTGCTTTTTTTTTTTCTTTTTGCACCAGAATATTTAAGAACAAAAAATTAATGATCACTGTAGCAGGAGGGAATGGCAGTTGTAAAGTCTCTACTAGAGATTCAAACTTTCTTTTAGCAGAGTTTGGCAGTGGTACAGAGCCAAGGCCACTTTGAACATTAGTTATTATTAATCCTGAATCCAAGGACTTTCAATTTTCTAAAAAAATATTTGAGACTTGACCAATTGATCAGTAGTATTGATCCCAAAATAACTGAAGAGAAAAGCTGTTCCAGTAATCAGTGTATTGCCTCTCAGCACCACATTCACACTTCAATACTTTCTCCGTAATGATGTACGGAATTCTGTCAAGTATTTCCCTTTTACAGTGAGCATGCATGGTGTTAACCTTTGAACACAGCAGGGAAAGGGGACTTCTCTTTTGGGTGCTGATTGCAGCATTGCTGGTCAGCAATGCAGGTGTGAGGACATTGGGTTGTATTTTGTTCCAGTAACACACCTGGAAGACAAGGCCCCTCAGCCTCAAACTTGCATCCGCAGGAGGCTGGTTGATCACCTTCCTGTGGTCTTCCCTTTGTGTAGGACCCTGTCCTCTGGGAGGTTTGTTTTCTGCCTTCCCAGTGACAGTGCAGCAGCTCTAACCCTGGCAGCTATACAGTGGGCAACCGCTCCTTCCCAGTGAGGACGCCTGAATTCCAACTTTGAAAAAGGTCTCCCGTTTCTGGTTTGGTCTTTCTTGGGTACTCTTCTTTAGTCCTAGGATTGGATTTTTCCGAATATTCACAATTGCCAAGAAATCACAGTCAACTAAAAACTGAATGAATTTCTTATATCTAAT